TGGTCCACTACAGAGAGTTTTGGATTATGGATCATTTGTAGCTTTGATGTTGCTTGGCCTTAAAGTTTTTAAAGTTGTCGATAGTGTGTTTAATTAGCCACGTTTAACCTGTATCCTTTTTTTGTTGGCTTGGTAATGTCTTTTTCTTCCACGTGTCTTCACCGTAGAAACAGGCCGACGTCCAAATCTGTCAAACTAAGCAAGAACTGCCAGTGTCATAGACGATCGAGCACCTCAAAAACACAGTCTGAAAAATGGGAACTAACATTCTGGATGTTTCCAAGAGTCTGACAGGAGAGTACGAGTATGTGAAATTCTGTTGAAGTATTTCATGTTTTACTCTTACGAGAGAAAAGGTTTGAAAAGGATGAGGACTTCTCTTGTCTTTCAGTACCTCGGGATATCCTTTTCCACAGGACTAGTCTGACTGACACTCTTCAAAAAGTCTTTACACAGAAACAGGTGTTTTTTTAGGGGGGAGGGAGGGTTGATATAATCAGAGTCATCTTATATTCAGCAATTCTGAATCAACCTACGAGCTACTGCTGCAAGTAAACACAATACAAACATGGCAACTGAGCGAGCTAGGTGAATCTGTGAGATCGACTATCTTGAACCGGCGGCAGCTTGTTGGTTCATTCAGAGTTACCTCCGCAGCATTTTGATTCTTAACATGTTCCTCAGAGGAAGGCACACAACTCTGTGAAGGACAGCAACACAAAGTGTCATTCTCTTTGGTTGTTGTAGCCAGCAGGAGCTAGCTAGCTGGGAGGAAGATGTTGCACTTGCTAAAAGAGGCTCAGGATACGTGATTGGCTGAAAGTTGAAGGTGTGGCAACACTTGACCACTCCACTGTTTTAAGAAGTTACACTGTGAAATTAAAGTGTCATTAGTAAAGTCCAATAAAAAAACAAAGATTAGATTTACATTAAATAACTTACACCGTTTATTCAAATGAGTATTTATTCTATAATGTCTTATTATTTCATATCTAACACTACGTAATTCAATGATATTAGCTCAGCTCATGATTAAAGAGCCCAAACTCCAAGTCTGAGGTCATGAAGTGATAGAACAAATAGAACTAACCACCACCAAAACACCATTGTATCTGTACAAGGACATTTAGTGCTTCAGAGTATTATTTATATATAAAACTCATTCAAACATTACAATCCCTCTAATTCAGCTTCCACTTGAATGTCAGTGAAAGTGCTCTCACTGAGAGGGTTTTTTTTTTTCTTAAATAACCCTAACCCTGCACTCCCCTTCTTAGCATTGAATTATCCTCAAACATATAACAACAACATGAATTTCCACTATGTAGTCTGATCTTTTTGTATCAGTGACAAAGCATAAACACATAAACACGTCAGCCCCTGGCTGATAATGTAATATGGCACCGGCTCCGAGGACCGAGTGGAGTGCAGGAGAGGAGTGTGCCAAGCACTCCGGAGGCTAAATTTACTCACCCGCTGTAACCCCGAAGCCTATGCAGATTCTACTCGCACGTCTCAACAGTTCAGTACAGCATCAGTCTGCCAGTCTCCATGATAATGACGAGCGTGCTTTGTATCATACCAACATCTCTCTGCACTGTGAACAGTGATGAGGATCTAAAGAGCTTCATTAGAAAACACTGCACATACAGGTGTGTGGAAAACTTTACATCTTCTTATGTTTGCATCTCATTATGTTCCACAGTGAACAGGATAATGTGCTCTGCTCATCTTTTCACACTTGTAAGAAACTGATGCTGAATCACAGGGACAATACCACCCAACAGTCCCCATCCAGTTTGGAAACAGTGCCCCCTGTTGTAAGATGACACTCTGACCTAACAGGTTCACATTTTGGATTCATGAAAGACTTCTGCCTCCTCATTACCTGGAGGTGTAACTAATACAACTGCAGAGAGAATGCAGGGAGTGTTTGAAAGAATTCACTGGTTGCCTCGACCAGTCTTTGTCAACAACCTTCATTTGCAGTGGCATCGGTAAAAATTTCATCAGATTATTTTCCATCATAAAATCTGGGCACATACAGAAATTCAAATTAATTAGGACCAGGGGTTTAATAAGGCAAAAATTACTCAAAGCCATGTTGCTCACTGCAGTGTCCATTCATTTGCATATATTTCAAATACTTTGTAAATAATTACTGCTACCAAGTGTTACTTGTTGAATGCTGTCCGACACCTGATTAGGAATTATTTACAGTGTGTATTTTACCAGTGTTTGGACACAAGAGCAAAAGCGGAAAGAAAAGATATGTTTCAAGGTTTGTTGTCGCAAAGTCTTGATCTTTTCCTGCGAAGACAAACCCCTGCACAATAAATGTGATCATCGGCACGATTGGCTGCGTGTTCTCGACAAGCTTATTTGAAAGTGAAAATTAATCCTGGATCAACAGTCTTCCTCTGAGATGTTAGATCCTCTACATCTCGGCCCTCGTCTTTCGAAGGGACGGCTTTCTCTTAGCTGCCTATCCGGCATTATGGGAAGAGCTCTCGCCGACAAAGAGTGCTCCACCGTTAATCACGTCAGTGCATATTTCTCCCTAAATCCTACGTTCTGTTAGTGTATCATGTACTGTCCCCATTTAGCCGAGGATAAAGGAAGAGTTTGTCCCACTTTTCAACGTGTTGACTCGCTGACGAACGGCTCTGGAGGAGGATAATTAAAACTTGGAGGATCCAGGCGGAATACCATTAGTCCCGTGTGTGTGTGTGTGTGTGTGTGTGTGTGTGTGTGTGTGTATCACTGAAACATTTTTATCAATGAACAAAACTGTCCTCTCCCACTGATAGTAAACAGACCAACACGAGTACTAGTTGGTGTCTTGGAAGAAGCTGTTATGTAAACGTAAATGTCATAAACTGATTGAGATGAAAAAGTTTGTCCAGCTCTGACCTGAATAGTGTTGTTAGACAAATGACCTAATCTGATTTCTGAATGTAGGTTGGACGTTAAGAGTTGGCCAGAGGGGGGGTAGAAATGGGGCGATGATGCAAATACAAATAGTACATTAAAATGGGACAGTGACTGTCAATGGATTTGATGCTGTGCTCACTGTGGACACCACTCAAAATCATAATTTAACATTATGATGAATAAATTCCCACAGGACTGAAGCCTGCACAACAATGTGACCTTCTCACACACTTATGAAAACTTTTGTCTCATTAAAGTGTGAGCAGGAGATTAATCTATTAGTCAGGCAGACGGATAATTAATTATCAAAATAATTGAAGATTAACTATTTAACAGATTTCCATTGTTCTCATTCAGACAGACTCACAGTGAACAACTTAAAACAAAACAAAACAAAACAATCGATGCAGAAGGACCGCAGATATCAGCTTTTTGATTCTGCACATTGTTCTCCTTTGTGAAAGTCTGGCGCCTACGTTGCCCACAATGCAACATGACCACTGAAAGCTCTCTCAGCGATTCACTAATGAAGCTAATTTAGCCATAAACCTCAAACAGAGAAGAGGAGTAGGAGACAGAGGTCTGGAAAGAAACTTGCAGTCTTCAGCCCCAACCACTGAGATGACATCACTTCTTTGACATCAATATTTTGTGTAGATTTTGTGCTGCTCATTCTGTTGCAACAAAAAGCTTTATAAAACATTTTTCACATATAGTACCCCCCAACACCGATGTGTAGGATGGGTGAGGGTCTCCTTTAAGCAAAAGTTCTCTGGTTCCTGCCTCTCAAATGTGAATATTTACTGGTTTTCTTTGTCCCTTGTAATATTACTCTAAATTTCAATGGGTGTTCAGCTGCTTGTGGTTAAGTTATTTTATGACCACTGAAAGCTCTCTCAGCGATTCACTAATGAAGCTAATTTAGCCATAAACCTCAAACAGAGAAGAGGAGTAGGAGACAGAGGTCTGGAAAGAAACTTGCAGTCTTCAGCCCCAACCACTGAGATGACATCACTTCTTTGACATCAAT